CTTGTAAGAGCTGCTCTCGTGAAAATAGGCATCGGGCAACTATCACATGAGGTGTTTCGTTGATCACATGTGAAACGAGTTACGTGCTTAACAATAACCGAGGTGTGATAGCTACAAGGACTTGTTATAAGAATGAACGTTCTCTGGTGAAATAAGGTTGGCCATCCTAATACCTTCTCAGCTGGTTCAAAATTAAAACTTTTTGCGGGATGATTAACACATGAAGTAATGGGCTTGACATTGGCGTATAGTTGATGTTAGTAAGTGAACAGGTGTGGAAGTTCATAGAACGGAGTAAGTTCATCACTAGTATTGGGGTTGAATTGCGAACGAAAATTTCATTTTTTTCTAAGAGAAAGTGATGAATGAACTTATATCAATTATGTGGTTTATAAAAGTGGAGCAATAAGGGCTGAGTTGTGATTTAAAGAAATTATTTCCATTCTTGATAGTGTCGAGCTTGTTCAAATAATTTGGAAAGATTTATAGTCCATATCAATTAATGGATTCTGTTAATATTGCGTGATTAGAAAACTTAGGGTATTGCGTGTTGATTATTCTATTATAGGTATGTGCACCTAGATTTTGGTAGTGGTATATTGGTTCGTGATCTTGTGTTCAAGGCTATTTTAGGTGCGTGATTTGTCTGATATTTCCATCTGAAACTTCATGTGCAATATATGGTACCTTATTTAAAGTTGGTAAGAGATCTTCTCAAAATTGGAGGGAACGGTTTTCTTATGACGTGTACTGTGTTGGTCAAATTTTTGAATTTCAAATTCTATGAGCCGAACCGTCTTGTAAACGACCTCGGTTACTGTGATTTAAGTTCCCTATTTCATCCATATCACCTTTGCTTCTCTTTCATATCAATCATTATCTCTATTTTGTTCATGTTTCTAAAAACTCTCTAACATTCCTTCTTCAAGAGGATCTCTATTTCTCGACAACGACTAAATCCAAGCAGGGCACGGTGAAGCCGAAGAAGAATGCTCCTCCGCCATATCGGCGCTCAACTCGGCTAAGTCAGAGCACAGAAACTCCTCCAGACCAAACCCTCTTCGTCATGGCAACTGAGAACA